TGTATAGAGCCAAAGAGGTTAGAATTGTGTCGATGTCCCAATATTTCTGGACCTGACTGTATATAGGATAATGCAGGCTTTAAATGTTTTGAAGTGTTAAATCCTGTCTGCAGCCTTGCTTTCTAGCACATTGTAAAAGATAAGAAACTGATGATGCTGGTCTATGTTTCAGTGGTGAAACTTTGGATGTGTTTGCCCATGAAGATGCAGTCTATGGACTGTCAGTGAGTCCAGTTGATGATAATGTTTTTGCAAGCTCATCTGATGATGGTCGAGTTCTCATTTGGGATATCAGAGAGTCTTCTCAGGGAGGTGAGGATTATGTCTGCATGATTTTAAATGTTGATTTACTTAACTGGAGACAATTGGCACTGAGCAAAGATGTGACTACCTCTGGGGGGGTGGGGGGAATGAAAATACCAGGGAAGATGGGATATTTTCCCTCAGGCCATCTTTTTCTATGAACTTTCTAAATTTTTCCAGCAAAGGAAAATTTAGACAAAACTGAAAAAAATCCTATGAAATATTTTCTCCTTTGGAATGAACAGAATGATTTTAGGACAATCATTTAAGACAATTTTATTTATTCCAGATGTGTAATATGAAGATAGTAAGTGAAAGAAAGCAAAGCAGTCCTTTCCAATACAATATAATTTATGGTTTTCTTCAGATGAGACTGAAATTTAAATTGGGGTGGAATGAGGTGCGGTAGAGGTGCCTTTCGGAACATGCTTGAAGAGTAACTATGTCAGAGGAACTCTGCTCTCATATGCTCTTGGCATGTTCATTCCACCAGCTGTGATGAATCATGTCAGGAATAGCAAAGAAGGTTTCTGCCACTGCCGCAAAGAGGCTCCAAGTGTTTCCCTCCCTGTCTACCCATAGAGAAGTAGGTCTGCAGTACTAAATGGTGTCTAAGATGTCCTCCTAGGACTAAAGGATTGTAGCTCAACAGATTTAAACTGCAGCCTCTCTATATTTTCATAGAAGCTCCTCTAAATTGTGTGGATTTTATTTCTGAGTAAACATTCAAAATGGCAATCTCTACATTTCAAAGGAATACCATGCTGGCTGGGGAATTTTGGGAGTTGAAGTCCACACATCTTCAAGTTGCCAAGTTTGAGAAACACTGGTCTAGGCTAGGAATGGGGACACCTGAGTTCTAGTCCTGCCTTAGACATGATAACCAGCTGGGTGACCTTGGGCCAGTTACATTCTCTCAGCATTAGGAAGTAGGCAAAGGCAAACCGCTTATGAAAATGCTACCTAGAAAACTACATGCACTTGTCCTTGTAGTCACCGGGAGTGATAAAAACAAATCATGATAGAGGAAGAAGAAGAAAAAACTAGCACATCTGTTTGTGGCATAAAATGTATTTCAGTTGAAAATGTAAACATCTGGGAATAAAATGTCTTCACTGTTAGCAAACAATAAGAATGGGTGCCAAAAAGCTTCTCCAGAAGAGTATTTTAATAGCGAGGGGTTGTCTTTCTACCTATTTCATCTCTGAAGATGGGGTTACTGAGGAAACACCTTACAAAGATAACATTGCAATATAAACAGGTTCAAATAGAAGCTATGTTTCTCAAGTATCATCATTGTATCATTTGGGAGGGATTTAAATCATCTTTGTGCATTGGTTTTGAAAACAGTTGCAGAACATTTTAATTGTTGGTAGGGTCTTATAAAGTATAACTGAAGCATTACTTATCCATCTGTAAATGAGCATGTTGAATTTTATCCTTAAGACCAGGTTTTGGAAATAAAAAAGGGGCAGTGTAGAAATATAAGGCAGAGTTCAGTGTGGGGCTAAGACAAAATGTGATTTATTTCTTCTTAGATTAACGTTGTGCGAACCTAGTCATGGTGATTTGGGAACCACATTGGGGCTTATTCCTTGTTAACTATTACATGAAGTGTTTAGCTATTAACAAATTTAAAAGCAAGCTTAAAATGTAATGCTTAATTACTGAGGGTGTTTAATATTTAGTTAATATGAACTGGTCTTTGTCACCTGAATATTAGTATGTGGCCTGGTTCCCACATAATCCTGATTCTCAGGAATTTTTAAGCATGATCTGGGGAACAAACCATAGTGATTTGACTCACACTTAATGCTAAAACATAATGGGATAGCATGCAAACTTCTGTAAGCACATAAAATAGAAGCACATAAAGCTTCTATTCACAGTAAAACCACATATAAAAGACTTTAATAGTTAATTCATCAAGAAGTATTACAGAGTTGACATTCTGTTAGAGATACTTGGGAGAAAAGATTTTGTTAATGGTAAACTTACAGGAGAATGGAAGGAATGTAAAGAAATGGAGGAATAAGATGAAAAGTATAAATGTTGCTACAGAATATGAGATCTTGTGATCTTTCAGCTGCTTGAAAAGCCAATAGCAACCATATTTTAAGATGTTGATAGGGCAATTGCTATTGTTGTGAGTAGCAGTTAATAAACACATTAAAGTTATAAAAGAAAAAGTTGAAAATCCTTACTGTATTAAAGTGATTTCAGTGCCATATTTTGATACAATAATCCAATTTTAATTAGATGGGAAGTGAAGCTCTTGTGGAGTCCTTGATGCTCTCTGAGCTTGGCTGTTTGCTTGCAGATGATTCATTACCCAACTAGGTAACATCATCAGTGAAGCTCTTGTAACAACTTTGCAAAATGCCTTACAGATTGGAGTGTTGTTTTGTATATGCAAGTGAACACATATTTTGCAGAATTTAGATAATTTCTCTTCTGCAGTTTCAGTTATTTTATCTAAATTATTTGTTGTTACTGGTCACTTTCAAGATTAAGACTGGAGAACTGATTTATATCTGTTGGTAGGTATTAATGAAGAGATAATACACATTTCAGTACAGAATTACTGTTTTACCATTTTTTTGTGGGAATTATGGGAAGATAAAATCTGATATGAAACCTCTGCTAGGATGACTTGAAACTAATTCAAAGAAATGTTGGCAAATGTCTCATGAACAAAGTTTATCTAGAAATCAATACTTTACATAGGAAATGTTCCACTTTTAACACTGTACCTTTACTTTTTATAACAGAGCCCTTTTGCTTGGCAAATTATCCTTCTGCCTTTCATAGTGTGATGTTCAATCCAGTAGAACCCAGATTACTGGCCACTGCCAACTCAAAAGAAGGCGTAGGACTTTGGGACATTAGAAAACCTCAAAGGTAAAGAGTACTATGATTTCTAATGCATTGTTTTGTGAAATTGGAAAGAGAAATCAAAGTGGAACTTGTAATCTGATAAGAGTTTGATTACTCTTTAAAATTTCCTTGGTAAATCTTTTTCACATATCATATAATATATAGAAAAAAGCTACATTGAGCAGTCTGTTGCGATACCGATAAATTGGATCTCTTCATCCAGCTGATTTAAACAAAGTTCGCAGGTGTAAATGAAAATGTGGCAGGGCAGCAACCTTGCTTTTGGGTAGGGAAGTATCTGCTTAATCTATATTGGGTTTTGAGAGTTTCAGGAATCCATTGTATTACTTGAGTACTTAATTCCCTGTAGTGCGCTTTTAACCTCTACCAATATAGATACAATAGGCCATTGATATTATTTTCTATAGATCATGTTTTCCCTGTACAGGTAGTCCCCGGGTTAAGAACGCCCAGGTTACAGACGATCCATAGTTAAGAACAGAGCCTACTGTAGCAAAATTCAAGTTAAATACACAATGGTTCGAGTTAAATACCCAGTAGTTTGAGTTTATTACACAATACTACTTATACAGTATTATACAATAATACAGTTCCAGCTTACATACACATTCGATTTAAGGACAGACCTTGGGAATGGAACCCATTCTTAAAGTGGGGACTACCTCTATATTAGAAATGCTGTTATATGACTGGTTGTTGCTGTTCCAATTATTACTTAATATGATGGTTAGTTGACTTAATGTGTATTTCAAATGTTGTGCAATTCATTTGATATCAGAATAGAAGGACCTACGGATCATCTAGCAGAATTGCCTACAATACTTAAAGCTTGGTAGAAGTACATCCTACCTTTGTTTTGTATGCTGCAAATAAAGAAGATATCACTAGGCATTCTCTCTTCATACTGGTGAAACCTGTTATTTAAGACAAGTGCTTCACAATGCAAAGGAGCTTGAATAAAGCATATCTCTTCAAATTGTTCTAGCATTTGTATCTTTTGAAAGGCTTGTGCAGCTGCATTGAAGGCTGTCTTTGCATATGTATGCATGCATAACTGCTTCACTTTCTTTCTGGGGCCTCCTATGCATGAAGCAACTTTTAAAAATCTTTGCCCAGCCTTACTATATAGTAAAAGTGGAGTGGTGATAGCGGTTGTAACTTTAAACAATAGAGTCTCCCCTATTGTGGGGGAGATGGGCGGTGGAGAAATCCAATAAAATAAATAAATAAAAATAAATAAATAAACACATTCTTTCTTGTCTTATCCTGGACTAGCAATGCTGTTGGATATATATGTCAACTAAGACTTTTATTAAGTCTTGCCTCAGGTGTATATAGGATTACAATTAAATGGGCATCTGAATTCCTCTTCTCTCTTCTGTTAGCTGAGAATGGCCAGAAATATTAGTTTTAACTACAAACATATAGACTCATTTCCTCCTTGTCCTCTTAAACTGTCAAGATAGTATTGGCCACAATGAGTGTTGAAAGAATGCTCAGTAATTGTTCACTCAGTTCTAGAAATCCAGATGATAATACTCCACACAATTACATTCATATTAAAATGTATTAGAGTCACTTATAGAATTGAAGCCATAGAATTTAGTAGTATATTTGTGCATGTCTTTACTGCAGGTCAGTAGTGGGCAGCTTGTATGTGCATTTATAGTCTGTGCTATAGTACAGAATTGAATCTTCATGGGCAAAGTCTGTTGTGGTGGGTGAGGCAATGTCTTGCCATGTTGTCTGGGATTCTTTTTGGCCTGTAAACTCTGGAGAAATGAATAGAGTGCTCTCCAAGCTGTCCCAAACAATATGTGAACTTGAATCATGCCCATTCTGGCTCTTTAATCCTTGACTACCTCCCAAATCTAGGAGAATTAACACTTCTGTCTGGAAGGGGTTGATGCCAACAGCCTTGAAAGAGAATCTTCCTAGGTCTGACTGTTTTTGACAACTATTACCCTATGTCCTAGAGAAAATTATTGAGACTGTGGTTAGTACAGAACTGCAAAGCATGCTAAAGGAAGCAGGTTACCTAGACCCTTTCTAGTGAGGGTTTAGAACTGGCTGTGGGACTTTGGTTGTTCTTATAGATGACGAGTTCTCCCATGCTGAAACTTGACTGGGGGTGCACCTCCTAATCCAAACCTTTCTGGACACCTGCAGGAGTTGGGGATTCAAGGCACTGTTCTGCTGTGGCTCAACTCCTTCCCTAGGGAGCACTTACAGTTAGGGCTGGGGGGAGGAGTGACTGGCCAAGTAGATGCTCCTTTGTGGAGTGCCTCAAGGTTCAGCCTCTTCTCCCCTGCTTTTTATCATCTCATGAACCCACTGCAGGAGATCATGCATCAGTTTCAGATAGAGTGCCATCACTTGGGTTTCCAGTACTCAATTGTACATCCCTATCCCAGCCTGTACAGCAGAGGCTGCAGGTGTCTGGATGGAATGAAATAGCCTGAAATTGAACCCAAGCATGAGACATTTACTGTTTGTTCATTGAAATTCTCTGATGACTTTGATATTCTCTTGATAGGGCGGCACTGCCCCTGAAAGAGCAGGTCTGTAACTTGGAAGTCTTCCTGGACTTAGCAGTTCTGACTAGAAAGGCAGGTGGAGGCCATGTTTTAGGGGGAGGGGACAGAGGGGCTTTGCCTAGCTTTGCTTGGTGCACAGGAGCAAAGTGTAAGAACCTTGTAACAGTAACTCATGTCTTCATCACCACCCATTTGAACTATTGCAATGCACTCTATGTTTTCTGCAGACCACCCAGAAACTTAAATTGGTCCTGAATGTGGTGGCCCTGGGGCTGGCTGGCACGTGCCTCCATGAGCACATAATACATTTGCTCTTTGCCCTGCACTGGCTTCATATCTGTTTCTGAATACTTACCTCCTCAGAGAATCTGCAAGTGTTTCCCCACTTCTGTGCACCTGTGTTTTGGAATAGCTTCTCCTACCCACTTCCCAGAATTTGATTGACCATAGACTATTAAAAACAGTACTTTTTCAGAGAACCTTTGAGATATGAGTTAACACCACCAGTTATGCAGCTTGTTATGATTTGTTTATGTTATTTTGTTTTGTTTTGTTTGTTTTTCACTGTGAACATTTTCTTACTGTGTATTGATGGGTATTGTAAACCACCAAGAATCCTTTTGATTGCAGGAGGGATAAATTCAATAAATAAATAAACTACAGAAATGTTTCAAATTACAGGTAGTCCTCACTTAACGATGGAAATAGGGACCAGCAACTTCATTGCTAAGCAACACAGTCGTAAAGCGCAACATCCCATGACCATAGCTGACTTACGACAGCAGTTGCGGCAGTCCCAGTTGCCATTGGTAGGTGAATCCTGCATGGTCACAGCATCTTGCGGTCATGTGATCACCATTTGTGACCTCCTGTCAGCTTCCTCCTTGATTTTGCTTGTTGGAAGTCAGCAATGAAGGTTGGAAATGGCAATCACGTGATCATGGGAACACTGCAACTGCTGCAACTACAAGGACCTGTCATAAGTCCCTCTCATTCAGCGCCATCGTAACTTTGAACAGTCACTGAATGAGTGGTCATTCAATGAGGACTATATGTAATGCATATATGATTCAATAGTATGCTTTAACCTGGATTTAAAAACAACAGTATGGTATTTGTTTCAGATTTGGATAGGCACCCATTCTGAGTAGCCTTTTATATATATACAGTTCTTAGCATAGGGGTATACAAAGTATGGTTCCCGAGTACTGAGTTTGCAGCCCCAAGAATCTCTCCTTAGATTTTGGGCTTTATCTAGGGGTTAAGAAGTAAATGGGTTCATTAAGATACTCAGTTTATTCCAACATGTGCTGCAGAGCGCACATCTGCAGGCACTTCCGGCTTGCATTCTGCAGTTCACATTAGAAGCTGCTGGCCATTTGTGAGTCTTTGCAGGATGAAGTCTGGGCCAAGAGTGAGCAGTTTTCTAGGATGCTTCCAACACGAGCTGCAGAGTGCACACTGTGCCTCTGGAAGCCTGCATCCCTCTGCTTCCTCCAGTTCTGCCACCACCTCAAACAGCACCTCCCATACAGCCTCCATCTTCGCCTGGGGAGACACCACCGGCTCTCCTGCCTCACCCAGCAACGGAGAGCACTGTGCCTCACCGTCCCACTGCCTCCTCCGGCTTGCATTCTGCAGTTCACATTAGAAGCTGCTGGCCATTTGCGAGTCTTTGCAGGATGAAGTCTGGGCCAAGAGTGAGCAGTTTTCTAGGATGCTTCCAACACGAGCTGCAGAGTGCACACTGTGCCTCTGGAAGCCTGCATCCCTCTGCTTCCTCCAGTTCTGCCACCACCTCAAACAGCACCTCCCATACAGCCTCCATCTTCGCCTGGGGAGACACCACCGGCTCTCCTGCCTCACCCAGCAACGGAGAGCACTGTGCCTCACCGTCCCACTGCCTCCTCCTCAGCCAGATCTGGCAAGCTCCCTTTGGCAGACGCTCTGCTGCGCATATCCCAAGGCTGCATCCTCACCCAGTGCCTGGATCCCAGGCCAGCAGCAGGAGGAAGAAGATGGCAAAGGTCAGTTGCGGGCAGCAGGGGGTGGCAGGGGTGGCAGCAGTGTGCAGGGCAGCCAAAAGGACAGAGATGGGAAATAGGCAGTTGGGGGAGTTGAAGCAAAGGTGAGCATGGCAGGGCAGGAGAAGTGTGAGGTCCAGCCTAAAGACGACACTGTCCTGGCCTAACAACGGCAACTAGGACTATCAGAACTGCTGTTGCTAAGTGATGCAGTCATGTGATGTTTCACCTAACGACCACATTGCTTAGTGACAGAAATTCTGGACCCAATTGTGGTCGTAAGTCGAGGACTACCTGCAAGGTAACATTGTTCAATAATTGTTTTCTAGGCTTGGATTCTTTAGAATTGTCTGAATATGCTGTGGTTATATCATAATGTACTGTTTAAGGTGTAGTATGAGTCATATTTGCTAGAAGATACTGGATGCTACCCTTCAGAATTGCTAGAGTGTTTAAATCATCATATGACTTTTGTCCGTTTCAACTATCTTGGTAATGGTTTGAGGTAAGATTAGATTCCAGCCATCATGTGACTTTTTGAAAGACCCCAAGAAATCATCCTTAAAGACCCATTCTTTACAACTGCTAATCTTTGGGGAACATATGTTTACAGATAATAAAGGTTTAAAACATTTATTGTGCCATAAGAAAGAATGATTCATTTCATTAGGAGCGGAGAATAAATACTCTAGAGTACAGGTATATATGCTAACTCTTGGAGAAAACTGATGTGGTTGCTAAGAGTCAACACCAACTTGATGGCACATAATTGGCATACAGTAACATTATACCATTGCAGTGTAACTTTCCATAAAGTTGCCTCTGTTCTTAACACTGTTTATTAAATTACCTTGCAATATCCATTTCTCTTTTCCCACTTTTGTTTCATGGTAAGACTGATTAAGTGTTTGGAGAAATTGTTTATTTGGACTTAATGAAGATATTACCTGTATTATAACGTTTGGGTTTCCTCAGTTTGCCCAATAACTTCATTCTTGCTTGTTGTATTTCTGTATGCGTTCTGATTGCACCACTAAAAATATCACAATCTGTTATCATGACAGCTTACTGCCATGTTAGTTAGTTAGTTAGTTAGTTAGTTAGTTATAAGATTTATATGGCCACCCATCCTAAGCAACTTTGGGTGGCTCCCAACAACAATAAAACCAATGACTATAAAACAATCATAAAAAAAAAAGGAAGACAATAAAACAATAAAACAAAAAGCCAAGGCTTTTTCATTAATAAATGATTTATTGGAATTAGCCAAGGCTGATTTCATTTCATTGATAGGTATTAGCCAAGGCTTTTTCATTATGGTGACTTTTATGTTCATGCTCTTTAGCACTAGATACTCTTTGTCCTTCATTCCACTCAATGGTTATGATTTCCTAAACCCATTGGCTAGCATGCAGCTAATTTAGCTAGGTCTGTTCCTTATCAAGATATCCAGACTGAATAACATATGAATGCAGCTGAGGTCATTGCACGTCCTAATCTCTTAGAGAGCCCTTTGCCTTTTGTCAGTAGTGCTTTGTTTTTGTTTTTATTTTTGTAAGCTTCCAACAAACAATCCAGATGCTGCTGCTTACCAAAAGAAGATAACTTTTCCTCTTATCTTTTTTCTTGGAAATGAAGTCATTGATTCTTGCATGCAAGAGTTGTCATTTATTCCTACAAGCTAGTGGTAAAAACTATTTTGACATAACAAAGCTATTCTTGGATTTAAAGTTTTATTGTTTCACAGCTTTCTTTATCTACTGCCTGAACACCCAATGACTTTTTAAGGCCGCCTCTTTCTGCCCTCCAAAGGGGGCACGTTTAAACTTGTATATAGATTACCTTATGCAATAATAACAACACAAATGTATCTTCCTCTTATTTTGTATAACAATAACACAAGTGTGTCTTCTTTATACCTGTGCTAGCCGATCATACTATAAATGCATGTGCGTATTTCCTGTTTCCTACAAAGAATGCATTTCCTATACAGAGGCAAGCATAATATGTGAAGCAGCTCAGTCGTATAGTCGAAAGATTTCAACAGATTATGCATGGAAAAAAATCACGAAGCAACCAGTGGAAAAACAATCAACTAGTGTTGCTTTGTGTTTTTGCTGAGAACAGTGCAGTGCTAACATTGCTGCTGGATTTGAGCTTTTCTTACTCTGCTTTGACTCTCAGCCACAGTGCATTTTAGTATGAAGAACCTTATGACATAAATGGCTTAGAAGATTCCATATATTGTATTCATGCAGCCTTTGGTCCAAAACTAGATTTTTTTCAGTAAAGCTGAATGTGATAAATAGGGCAAGCACCAAAATGAAGGCAGTATATAGATCTAGCAAACAAATAAGTTATCTCATTCCTAAAGATTTACTTTTTCTGTCTAGGCAAAAATCTTACATTTATTTCCTTGGGAGAAAGTCCTATTGAACATTAATGTATCTGTGAAGAGACATACATGGAGTTGATCTCTTAGATCCAAACACTATTTGTTTTTTATGGGAAGGAAACCTGGGTTAAATTGGTGCCTATTTTCAGGAGATTGTGCACTGTAGCCAGAATCCCCAACCCCAGCTTTGCATTCAGTAGAATAAATTGGTTAAGATCACCCTCTGTCCTTTGATTTCATGGGGACTTGTATGCTGTTAATTTTACCTGAAATAAGGCTGTGACACATATACCTCTCATTTGAGATTTGTTCCAAATGTTTTTGATAAAATAATCCTAAGGTATAAAATTCAAATAATCTTATTGGATAGGATATGCAGGATATCTGACCACAGTATCCAGAATATTATGATGTTGTAACAAAATAACACATTCAGACACTCTGCCTTCCTTGAACACTAATGTTGCTCTTTTGTGAAAAAGGATGGTAACTCAGACCAGCTTTGCGATAGCTGAATTGTGGCAGCCCATTTTAATTCTTTTTGGTTTCCTGTCTCCTAGTTCCCTGCTCCGGTATGGTGGGAATCTATCACTACAGAGTGCCATGAGTGTGCGGTTTAACAGCAATGGAACACAGCTGCTTGCTCTCAGGCGTCGGTTGCCACCAGTCCTTTATGACATCCATTCCCGTCTGCCTGTCTTCCAGTTTGACAACCAGGGTTATTTTAATTCTTGTACCATGAAAAGCTGCTGTTTTGCAGGAGATCGTGATCAGGTAAGGGGCATGAATTCCTAAAGTCCAAGAATTATACAGAGAGGCATTTTAAGATAATTTAAGACATAGTTTGAGAATATGGTATTGAATATTGTAAGTTTTCCGTGTATATAAAACAACAAATCTATATAGATAATGCTTTGTGACATGGTTTTCACAACATGCTAAATCATACTGTAGTTAGTCTTAGTGTATCTGAACTTGGACTAGAGGTTAAATAGTAGTTAATGATGAACATCTTAATTACTATTTATAACCATGGTTTGTTGAGTCTCTGCTTTAAAGAAGCCACTCCAGATGCAGTGTTTCTGCTATTTTTATCTCTTTTTCTATCCCTGGTGGGTGTGGGGAGTAAAAAGAGGTGCAGGAGCCCAATAAGAAGTGTGTGTGTGTGTGTGTGTGTGTGTGTGTGTAAGAAACTAGCCACCTATTGCCAAAGGGATGCCATTCAAAATGGAGGTAACCTGCAAACTCTGCTTGACAGTGGCTTGCCTTTGTAGTTTAACACTGCACTGATGGATAAGCAGCTTATCTATGAATAGTGTCAGACTTTGCATGGTATATTATGCAGACATATTTGTGTGTGTGTGTGTAGAGTGATCCATCACCAGGTAATCATAAGAATCTTGGTAGCTCTGGTTGAAGGCCAACTGTCTGTCCACTATTGTTATCATATCCTTGGAATTATCCACTATATAGTGGGGAAAATGAAAATACTATGATACCAAACCATCATTTCATGGAAAAGCCAAGCCATCTTGTAAGAAATGTTGTAAAGCAATCCCTGGAGGCTTTACCACATGGTAAGCTATACATAACAACATGGATGTGTCTTTTTAAACATTTTTTAATGTGGTTGCAAAAAATTGGTCAAAAAATTGGTCAAAATAGCACAAAAGTTAGATGCAAAGTGCACACTGTACATAGCAACCATTATATGGTTATTTATTTGTGAATTGTGCTAGTTAACATAGAAATTAATACAGAAGTAAGTGAGTTATTAGGTGGATTTAACTTGAGACATCTAGAAATACAATAAGATACTATATTTATTCATTTATTTGGGATATTGGTTATCAACTAATGCTCCATGACCCATATTTGAATTGTGACTTGATCTCAGATTACACCACTAACTCAACCATTTTGACAAGGGATTAAAAGAATGATGTGCCTTTGCTGCTGGGGGAAGAACTAAGCTACACAACATGGTGGGAAATAGGAGGAGAAGAAAAGAAATTAAAAATGGCTGTTGCTCTGAACTTGCATATTATAGCAAGCATGAGTTATGTGAAAAAAATTGATGTGGAACCATATTTGCTTTGTACATGTATTGCTAATTTCTTAAGCTAATTTACCCTTTGTTGTTGATACAGTAAAACTCTTTCCAGACAAGAATTTATTTGGAATTGTTATACAAATTTTATAGCACATCCACATGACAATGCCACCATCTATTTGTAATCCTCCTATTTTTTCCTGTATTATTGCTTTGTTTTTTCTTATTGGTCAACTCCTCCCCCCCGCCCCATAAAGCATCAAGGAAAAATTACCAAATCTCCACAGATTTGTAATATCTGTGATATTTGTAAAAATATATTTGTAATACAGTGTAATAGCACTGTAATATCTGACTTTGTCATCTGAACACCATTTTTTAAAATCTAGAGCACATTCAGTATAAATTCTGTTGAGTTTTTTATATATTTATATATTTATACATTCTGACTTTTACATAGCACTGTTTCTTGCCATTCACAAATCCATTGAAATATTAATTTTTAAATATTAAATATTGTGGAATATCTTTTAGATGAAAGGGTATTATAGTGCCATAGCCTTATAATGTAATATGCACATTCATAAAATTGTGAGTCACCTTGTTTTCACAAGGTGGTTAGTCAAAAAATCC